GGCCACGTCGTGCCTCCAAGGCCCCGTCGCGCCCGCTAGGCCCCGTCGCGCCTCCTAGCCCCGTCGCGCCCCGCCTGGGCCCCATCGCGCAGCCCCGTCGCACCCCTCCTGGGCCCCGTTGTGCCTCCTAGCCCCGTCGCGCCCCTCCTGGGCCCCGTCGTGCCTCCTAGGCCTCGTCGCGCCCTGCCTGGCCCCGTCGCGCCCGCCTGGCCCCGTCGCGGCCTGCCTGGCCTCGTCGCGCCTGCGAGGCCCCTACGCGCCTGCCTGGCCCCTCCGCGCCTGCCTGGCCCTGCCGCGCCTGCCTGGCCCCGCCGTGCCTGCCTGGCCCCGCCGTGCCTGCCTGGCCCCACCGCGCCTGCCTGGCCCCGCCGCGCCTGCCTGGCCCCGCCGCGCCAGCCTGGCCCCGCCGCGCCTCCCTGGCCCCGCCGCGCCTGCTTGGCCCCGCCGCGCCTTCCTGGCCCCTCCGTGCCTGCCTGGCCCCGCCGCGCCTGCCTGGCCCCGCCGCGCCTGCCAGGCCCCTCTGCGCCTGCCTGGCCCCGCCGCGCCTGCCTGGCCCCGCCGCGTCTACCTGGCCTCTCCCGCTGCCCACCCGGCCCCTCTTCGTGCCTGCTCGGCCTGCCGTGCCACCTCGAGCTCGTTAGCGCACTATCGCTCAGTCGAGCGGTGCGCCGGCAGTCTCTATCTTTCACGGCTGTGCCCCCTCCCTGTGCACGTTCACTGACGTTTCGGCTGCGGTCGCTACGGCGACCCCTCTCACCGAGACGTCTGCTGCGGTCCACCCGCAGCAGCGCTCGCGCCGCGGTGGCCGTGGTCGCCAGGGAGGTAGGGGTGGTGGCGCAGGTGGTGGTGGTTGTGGTGGTGGTGACGGTAGTCCGCCTGAGGGGACTACCACCGGTGGGCAGGAGCAGCAGCCCCAGCCGCAGGAGGAGCAGCCCCAGCAGCAGCCGCCGTCCCAGCAGCAGCCGCCGCAGCCGTGGGCCCGTCTCCCGCCTGGTTGGCCCGGCACCCCCGGAGGTAGTGGCCATGGTGGCGGCCCGCGCAGCTCGGTGTCTACCGGCGGCTCAGGTGCTGTCACTTGCCAGTACCAGCTTCAGATCGGGCCTCTTCGCGGCACACTGTGCCGCCGTCCGCACCCGACCGCCCTCTGTTTCCGCCGTCTCGATGATCTCTTTCGTCGTCCCTTTGTCCCGGCCCCGGACCTCCCCGATTGGCACAGCCTGCTCCGCCAGGGCGTGCCGATCTTTGAGTTAGACATGGATCAGATAGGTGCTGCTTTGCATGCCTTGTATTCTGACGCTTCTAGTATTGCAGGATCTTATTACCCTATGTACTCTAGTTTAGGTGTTGCACCATTGTGTAGCTTAGCCTCCCCTGTTGCGTCAGGCGTAGGACTGCCTAGTTTGCCTAGCCTAGTCTCTGCACCGGCTCTGTTCCCGACCTCCGCCACAGCTTCGCTGTCCTTCACTCTCCACTCCGGTGCTTCTGCCTGCTTCTTCCGCGACCGTTCCGCGCTCACTCCGCTTGCTACGCCTGCTGTTGTCTCTCTCGCTGACCCCTCTGCGGGTCCTGTCATCGCTCGCAGCTCAACGTCCCTTCCCGGTCCAGCAGTTCCCTCGGCTCCCTTACAGGCCTCCACGTTCCCTCGTTCTCCAGGAACCAAGTTGGTGTCGGCTGTCTCCAGGACGTTGGCGTCACCACCACGTTCCCCGGGAACGAGCGGTTCGCTGTCTGTTCTGAGGCTGTGTCAGGTTCCCCCCTCGCGACGTTCCCCCGGGACCCGGGGTCCGGTCTGTTTACCCTCGACACCGCTTCCCCCCAGTTGGTGCGTCCTCCCAGGTCGCTGCAGCTTGCTCGTGTTGGTCTCTCACTCACCCGTCCCTTCTCTGGCACCATCGCCTAGGTCACCCTGCTCTCCCACGTCTCCGGCCCGTCTTCCTTCTCGTTCCCCTCCTGTGTCCCCTCCGTTGTCCCCAGATCCTACACCTCCGTCCCACGTTTGGTCTCGCCGTCCCTCCCGTGCTCGTCCCGTCTCTCCTGTTGTGCGCTCCCACCCTATGTTGCTCCTTTCCCGCTCGTCTCGTCCTCCCCTCCTCCCGTCCCCTCCTCCCTCGTCCCTTGCTGTTGCACCTCCTCCGTTCTCTGACTACCTCCGTGCCGCTCGTCCCCTTGTCCCCCGGGTCCTTGCCTCTCTTGTTACCGACCCTTCTGTTCCTGTCTTGCGCCTTGACGCGCTTGTCGCTGCTGTCGCTGACTTCGCCTCTACCCGCCGCCTTGACTACGCTACCGCTCTGGTCTCTGACCCTGCCCGTCCTCCGTCCGTCGGGGGTGCTCCTTCCCTTGGCAGTGACGTCCTAGAGGACAGGTAGTACGAGCTTGCTTTCCGTTCTGAGGCGGCTCCCCATCTCTGCTCCATGCTGTTAGTCCCTGAGGGTGACCCAGACGCCTTCGACATCCCGACCCCTCGCACCTACACTGAGGCCACCTCAAGACCTTGGGCCTCTCAGTGGATAGCTGCCATGGAGCAGGAGATGGCATCTTGGAGGTCCACCGGCACTTACGTCAACGCAGTTCCCCCACGTGGGGTGAACGTAGTCGATGGTCGGTGGCTCTTGAAGGTGAAGCGCCCCCCTGGAGAGTCGCCTGTCTTCAAGGCGCACTACGTGGCAAGAGGCTTTAGTCAGCCCGAGGGGGTTGACTTCTTCCAGACCTTTGCCCCGACCCCGAAGATGACCACTCTTCGGGCGCTGCTACACGTAGCAGCACAGCGCGACTACGAGCTTCACTCCCTCGACTTCTCTACTGCCTTTCTTCCAGGCAGCCTACACGAGCAGGTCTACCTGCGCCAACCACAGGGCTTCACTAGTACCTTCCCCCCTGGGACCCAGTGGCTTCTCAGGCGCCCGGTCTACGGCCTGCGTCAGGCTCCCCACGAGTGGCACGACACGCTGCGTGCCACATTAGTAGACCTGCAATTCTTTCCGTCCTCTGCTGACCCCTCACTGTTTGTGCGTTCCGGCCAGACTCCGTTCTACATCCTTGTCTACGTAGACGACCTGGTCTTTGCTACTGCTGACAGGGACGCACTGGCCTCTGTGAAGGCCGAGCTGCTGAAGAGACACACCTGCACTGACCTTGGAGAGCTGCGTCGATATCTTGGCCTGCAGATCTCTAGTTCCAGAGCAGCACGCACCATCACTCTAACACAGTCACACTTGGTGCGTCAGGTCCTTCAGAGGTTCGGTCTTCAGTTCTCCTCTGCACAGCCCACACCTCTACCTGTAGACCATGGGCTCTCCGCTCCCGTTCCTAAGAAGCCAGTAGAGCCCAGTGGCCCCTACGCAGAGCTGGTGGGTTGCGTCATGTACCTGATGACTTGCACTCGCCCAGATCTCGCATACCCTCTCAGCATCCTTGCTCGCTTTGTGGCTACAGGCAGACACCGACCTCAGCACTGGTCTGCCGCTAAGAGGGTTTTGCGTTATCTTGCAAGTACATCGGGCATGGGGTTAGTGCTAGGAGGACGCAGGCCAGTGGTCGTTACTGGGCACACAGACGCTTCTTGAGCAGACGACTCTGAGGCGCTCAGGTCGACGCAAGGCTACTGTTTTAGCCTTGGTTCAGGTGCTATCTCTTGGAGATCCACTCGCTCGTCGTCTGTGGCTCAGTCCAGCTGTGAGGCTGAGATCTACGCTGGTGCCATGGCGGCACAGGAGCTCCGCTGGCTGACCCTCTTGCTTACAGACTTAGGTGAGCGGCCTAGCTCTGCCCCGGTCCTGTACGCTCACAACAGGGCCATGATACTCGAGTGTCAGGAGCCTCGACTTGAGGGCAGAGCGAAGCATATCCAGCTGCGGTACTTCCTTCTGCGCGAGTTATAGCAGCGCCGTTAGGCCCGCATAGTTCACTTGGCCTGAGGTGCCAACACAGCTGATATCTTTACTAATGCGCTTGCGCCTAAAGATCATCAGCGGCACTGTGTATAGCTTGGTCTTGTTCCTGTAGCTACTCACATGTTAGGTTCTGATTGTGTACTCTCTATTATATATCCCTGTCAGACTGGCCTTGTGGCCTTACCTCTAGTGGCTGGACTAGTAGTGCTGCACTAGCTTGCTTTAGTCTTGTTTTTACTCTTGCTGACTAGCCTCCAGACCCCTGCCTAAGTGGTTGGACTAGTGGTGCCACCCTGAGCTGTTTGCTTCTTGCTTAGCTTCACCCCTTGTATAGCCTAGAGGGTGTGTCAACTTATACATATTAGCTATATAGAAGTTATAGGCTAGACTGGGGTATGCTTCTAGTGAGTACAACCAATTAGTATTTGTTCTAGGTTTCTCCTTCTGGTTAATCATTATTCAGTTCTTACTTTAACAATTGGGGCCTGGCGGAATGCTAATGCTTATGCTATTGCTAGTGTTTACTGTAATGCCTTGCATAGGGCAAGGGGGAAATGAAATTGTTGAAGGGAGGTGACAACAGTAAAACGGTACTGTGATACATCAGGATCTATCGTTGTTCTATCTTAGTTCTATCTTGTTTCTATCAGGGTTCTAACGGGGATAGAGTGGATGAGTCAAACCCGAGAAAGTCAGCGAGACTCCTCTTTGAAATGTTTTTCATGGTCAACTCAACTCAAGGTGAATTAGTATGATTTCACTGTTCAAATCATCCCAGCCTGTTTCGGCGACATTCTTCGCTTGAGACTATAGGTCAACGAGACAGGGTTACCAATGAGTCGTATGCTGGAGGATCCCGCAAATCCCCTCTCAGTGAGTTTGTTGTATCAGCCTAGTGTCGTCACAATTCGCCAATCTCCACAGGCGAATTGCGGTTCGCGAGGTGCGTTTCGGCTAGTAAGCTGAGCTGGAGACGCTGAGCAGGCATGTATAAACTGACGCCAAAACCTCCGTTCACTCATTCGGTCTTCGTGACGAACTTCGTACATTTTCAGGAGGAAGCAAATCTACTACTACTATTACTACTACTAGTAAACCACGCGGTCCGGAGCCACGCTGTGACACTGTCGAGCGGGAGCACTACAAGTTCATCTAACTCGTCGGAAGTTTCTCATCAGTGATGCCTCGGTGCAAGGCGGCATCGCTGGCTGGCGCCCGAGCCGCCAGCAGCAGCGCCATTCTCCTCGTGCTGCTGGCCTCGGCTCTGCTCAGCTTCCCCACCGCAACGATCGGCGCGAAGCGCGGAATCGCCGTTCGCTCGCAGGGAGTGCAGGAATCGGCGCGCTCCATAGCGCGGACGATCTGGAAGTCTGGTAGCAGCCTTCTCCGCGGCGGGAGCTCCAGCTCCGGCGGAACTACTCCCGCTCGAACCACGGGTAGCGCCGCCGCATCGGCTGGGAGCAGCTCTGGCTGCGCGTCGTCGTCGCTTGATGGATTCAACTCGTCCGTCGCCATGGGCTCGAGGTGGGGGATCTTTAACTCCTAGTAGAAGGAGTTTTCACCTTTGCTAAATCGAATACAATGCGCCTGATCATACAATGCCAGATTCCGAACCGTACCACATGGTTCGACTCGTTTCCTTGAACCATCTCCCACCCTACCTCCCGCCCATCTCAAAACTCTTACCTTCCCCGCAGCCTGACGCTCCATTGGCGCGCAGCCAGCTCATCGCAGCTCGACTTCGCGCTCGAAGCGGCGGGCGGCAGTGTGGCCGCGGCCGGGTGGTTTTCAGTGGGGTGGTCGTCAACGGGCGGCATGGCGGGGTCGGACGCCGTGATCGGCAGTGCGGGCGGGGGGTCCGTCCAGGCGTACTACATGAGCGGCACGGGCCAGTCCGACGTTCAGCCCACAAGCAGCTTCGATATCGGCACTGCCGAGGTCGCCACGTCTGCCTCGGGATCCACCATCATCAAGTAAGGCTGGGTGCTTCGTGGTTCAGCTTCACGTTTCGGGATTCATGGTTCGGGGTTCGTGGTTATGGTCTGAATCCACCCCCCATAAGAGCGTACGAATCATCACAGGGTGGTTTTGGAGTTCATGTTGGCGCTTGGGTTTGATGCCTTCCTATCCCTGCTACTTTGGTCCTCAGTGAAGCCTGCTGCTGTGTGAATAGCCTACTCACCCTCTCTCCTCCAATCTCTCCCCCCCCCCCCCCCCCCCTCCCTCTCCCCTTGCTCCCTGCTCTCCTGGGTGCAGGTTCTCCCGCTCGGCGGGCGACGGCTCGGTGCCGGTCAACATGCAGGGCAGCAACACGCTCGTGTGGGCGCACTCTAGCGACGGCTCGCCATCCCTTGGATTCCACGGCGACTACGAGTGAGCATAGAGATACTCCACGCCCACTTTGAGTAAGCAGAGGGCTGTCCGTATGAGACAGTGCTCGGTAGATGTCTTTCACTACAAGCTGTTCATTCTACTTGTGTTCTAGTTGTTCTTTACTGCAACCCTAAAGCCCTTGCAACCTCCCTCCCACCCCCTCTCCTCCTCTCCCTCTCCTCTCCAGCGGTTCACTTCAGGTTGACTTCTCTTGCTCCTCTGCCTCGTCCGGAGGGGGAGGGGGTGGCGGCAGTGGTGGCGGCACAGGCGGCGGCACGGGCGGCGGCAATGGTGGTGGCGGCGCTGGTGGTGGGAATGGTGGTGGTGGAAGAGGGGGAGGAGGAGGAGGAGGAGGAGGAGGAGGAGGAGGAGGAGGAGGAGGAGGAGGAGGAGGAGGAGGAGGAGGAGGAGGAGGAGGAGGAGGAGGAGGAGGAGGGAGAGGAGGGGATGGTGGTGGTGGGGACTGTGGAGGCGGGCACGGGCATGGGCACGGGGGAGGGGGTGGACAGGACGGACGTGGGGGCGGACAGGGCGGACCAGGAGGCCGGCAGGGGGGAGTTGGAGGCGGACAAGGGGGGTCTGGGGCGGGACTGATGGGGGCTGGGGGCGGACAGGGCGGATGTGGGGGCGGACAGGGGGGCCCTGGGAATGGGCAGGGGGGAGCTGGGGGCGGGCAGGGGGGCCCTGGCAATGGCAATGGTGGTGACTACAACAGCGGGGGAAATGGCAGCGATTATGGCGGTGGGAGTGGGGATTACAATGGAGGTGGCGGTGACTACAACGGGGGGAGCAGTGGCGGTGACTACAACGGAGGGAATGGAGGCGGAGGTGGCAACCCTGGTGGGGATTATAGCGGGGGCAACTCTGGCGGTGACTACAGTGCAGGAAACACCGGTGGTGATTATGGTGCTGACTATGGGAGTGGTGCGGGTGGTGATTATGGCGGGGGAAAGGGAGGGGGTGGTGGTAATGGAGGAGGCTCCAATGGGGGAGGCATGGGCGGAGGGGGCATGGGCGGAGGGGGCATGGGCGGAGGGGGCATGGGCGGAGGGGGAATGGGCGGAGGGGGCATGGGCGGAGGGGGTATGGGTGGAGGCGGCATGGGCGGAGGAAGCATGGGTGGAGGGGGAATGGGAGTGGGGGGTGGTAATGGAGGAGGTTCCAATGGAGGAAGCATGGGCGGTGGTGGCGGTTCAGGGAGAGGCATGGGCGGAGGGGGCATGGGCGGAGGGGGCATGGGCGGTGGGGGCATGGGCGGAGGGGGTATGGGCGGAGGGGACATGGGCGGAGGAGGGATGGGAGGGGGTGGTGGCAATGGAGGTGGCTCCAATGCGGGAGGGATGGGCGGAGGGGGCGGAGGCATGGGGGGAGGAGGCGGAGGCATGGGGGGATTAGGCGGCCTGGGGAGTTTCCTTGGAGGCTTATTCGGTGGCAAGAACTGAACGCCTGCTGGAGGCTGCAGTGGTTGGGGGCTGTAGCGGCTGGAGGCTGCAGTGGCTGGGGGCTGTAGCGGCTGGAGGCTGCAGTGACAGGGGGCTGTAGCGACTGGAGGCTGCAGTGGCTGGGGCTGCAGTGGCTGGGGCTTTAGTGGCTGGGGCTGTAGCAACTGGGGCTGTAGTGGCTGGGGCTGTAGCGACTGGGGCTGTAGTGGCTGGGGCTGTAGTGGCTGGGGGCTGTAACATGATATTTTTAGGAGCACTAAGGGCTGCTGGGTATGCTAGCAGTAGTGCAGTGAGTGTGGAGTGACGTGGTGTGGAAAGGAGTGGTGCTGTGCTGTGCTGTGCTGTGGTGTGGCGTGCTGTGGTGTGGGATGGGGTGGGGTGTTGACACAAATGGTTTAGCTTTGATGCACCTCAAGCCATGGAGCAGAGCGCCTTGTCGGGAGGTGCATCAAAGCCTCATCAATTGCTTCAATGCTTCGGTAGTGTTGTTGGGCTAATCTTGCTTGTACCCTTTTTGTGATGCATGGATTATATTCGGTATACCGTAAGAAGAGGGCTGCTCGCATTCTGAATCACCAGTACCCATCCACACTGTGACTCACCTCGAGTCTGACTTGCACCGTGCCGGACTGAACCACTTTGAACCATGTGCGTGTGAAGTGAGCGTGTGAGGTAAGAGTGTGAGGTGAGTGTGGGGTGAAGGAGGGGCAAGTGTGTGAGGTGAGCCTGTGAGGAGTGTACGAGTGCACATTTGCACAAGCCAACAGCAGCAGAACCATGGAGAAACACACTGGTACTGGTAGGTCCGTCCATACCACAGAAGCTAGCTTGAAGTCTTGACACAAGGCTGGGAGGCCTTTGAGGGTTTCCACCAGCAGCTAGTTTGAGGGGTGGGAGGCCTTTAAGAGTCTAGTTTTGAGGCGCCTCATGGCTAACACCACCTGGGGACATGGCACATGCAGAGGAGGGGGAATAAGAGTCTAGTTTTGAGGCGCCTCATGGCTAACACCACCTGGGGACATGGCACATGCAGAGGAGGGGGAATAAGAGTCTAGTTTTGAGGCACCTCATGGCTAACACCACCTGGGGACATGGCACATGCAGAGGAGGGGGAATAAGAGTCTAGTTTAGAGGCGCCTCATGGCTAACACCACCTGGGGACATGGCACATGCAGAGGAGGGGGAATAAGAGTCTAGTTTTGAGGCGCCTCATGGCTAACACCACCTGGGGACATGGCACATGCAGAGGAGGGGGAATAATGTTATAACCGCAATAGGCTTAAATGTGCCTATAATGAGAGATAGAGAGCACAGTCGGATTTCCGTCAGACGGCTTCAAATATTGATAACGATCTGGTCACCGAATCAAACGGTGATCTGTAAGTTGGATCTAGAGCGCGTTGCTGTCATCTATCAGCAGCAAGTTGAATCATGAAATTTCATGAAAATTTGACGACGCTATGGTGGTTTGACTGGCAGGAGGTATAGCAGCCACTATAGTCTTAGCAACAAACTTAGCAAGAAGAGTTCGAGAGGGAGATGGTTCCCAGCCTCTACATACCCCAAGAGCCGAGGTCCTGGTTGTTGGTACACCACCACAGAGTCCCCAACCATGAAGAGTCTCGAAACCAACCCTCCAAGGGGCTACACCAAGTGAAATGTAACACTACACGAAGTAACGTTACTATTTTCACTATTTAATATTTATCCGCGTCCCTTGGGCTTGAAATCTTGAGCTCTTGTTCTTGGATCTGCAAGATAAATTTTTCTTGAGTTGATGGGGGCTTGCTGCACACACCTGCGACGCGATGGACACTTCACACTCGACAAAATAGAAAAAACACATGCGACACACAAACGACGACTTGACATGCTAGTTGTAAAAACTCGCTAATGTCTTGACCGACACAAACCACATTGTGATACATCATTCAAACACACACACAAGCACTGGATAGCAATGACATAGACTCACAATTCATTCCATGCCATGCATGCACACACACAAACAAGGACGACAAGCCGAGTGCAAGCCATAGGGTTGCACCAACAAACTCCCCCTCGGATTGTTGGCCTTAGAATCTGCTCCCCTTAGTTCAGAGCCATCCCAGCAAGCTTGCAACACTTCCAATGCTGCTGCTCAACCAGCCTCTTGGTCATCATATCAGCTGGCTGCGCCGTCGTCTTCACGTAGTGCAACTCCACTTCACCCGCGGTTACCATGCTCCTCACCCAATGCCACTTCACCTTCATGTGCTTGGTAAGGCCATGAAGAACCGGGTTCTTAGCCAATGCAATAGCACCCTGGCTATCACAGTCGAGTGGGGTAGGTCCTTGCTGCTCCTCCCCCAATTCAGCTAGCAAACGCCGCTGCCACACAACCTCTCTTATTGCACGGAAGAGTGCCATGTACTCGGACTCCACCGAGCTCAATGCTTGGTCCACTTGCTTCTTGCTCTCCCAAGCTGTTGGGCCTCCACCAACACAGCAGATGAAGCCTCCCACACTTGTCATGTCCTCTGGTTCTGATGCCCAAGATGCATCAGAGAAGGCGGTGAGAAAGAGCCTCCCGGGTTCAACTCCATCCGCACCCTTTTGACGCCTTTGTGCCGCCGCGGAGTATTGCAGTCCAACAGTTGCTGTTTGGCCAAGGTACTTGGCCACCCTCTCTCCAGCAGCTACCTGCTCTTCATTAGGGCATTGGACAGCCCTAGCCAGCTGCCCGGTAGCAAAGGCTGCATCCGTCCTTGTGTGAACGGCCGCATACATAAGGCTGCCCAACAAGGAGTGAAAACGCCGCCTCTCCTCTTCACCAACACTTTCCTCTGCTGGTCCTTTCACACACTTGAACCCTGAGGGAAGAGGAGTAGCCACATGACCTTCAATCTTCCCAAAGTTTGCAGCCAAGGCCTCCAAGTACTTCTTTTGATGCACTCGCATCCACCGCTTCTCCACATCTCGCTCAATTTGAAGCCGAAGGTAGTAGTTGACGTCACCAAGGGTCTTGCACTTGAACTTGTCTTGAAGCTTCAGCATCACCTCCTTCACAAGGTCAGAGGAGGGTTAGAATATGAGGATGTCATCCACATAAACCACCATGAAGCTCCTCTGCTCCCCCTCGCCAAGCATGAACAAGGATTGATCGGCCGTTGAGGGAGTGAAGCCGATCGCCTCCAAGACTTCCCGCAGCTTGATGTACCATTGCCTAGGGGCTTGCTTGAGGCCATAGAGTGCTTTCTTCAGCTTCCACACTCTGCCACTCCCATCATTGTACCCCTTTGGCTGCTCCATGTAGGTCTCTTCCTCCAAAACGCCGTTGAGGAAGGCCGTTACTATATCCATTTGCTTCACCACCCATCCTTTGATGGCCGCCGCGGCGAAGAGGGTTCGAAGGGTTGTACCCTTCACCACAGGGGCATACACTTCATTGTAGTCCTTCTTCTCTTGCTGCTGATACCCCTTGGCTACAAGTCTGCTCTTGTAGCGCTCGATGTTGCCGTCGGCGTCGGTCTTGCGCTTGAAGAGCCACTTGGAAGAGATCGCCTTACGCCCTGGAGGTAGGTTCACCAAGTCAAACGTGTCGTTCTCGATGATGCTCCCCATTTCTTCATCTGAGGCCTTCTTCCACTCCTTCCCATTGGGGCCCTCCCAAGCCTCTTTGGGATTTGTAGGCTCCCCCGGTATCTCCACCGGAGAGAAGAAGGCAAAACCGCACTCCTCGCTTTCATCTTCCGCATCATCGCCTAGCATGAGAGCCGAACCGGTCAAGGTTGAGTTGGCTGGTCCTCCAAGCCATTCATAGCTCAACCTTTTGGGGGGCTGAGTCTTCCTTCTCCCCTTTTCTTCCTCCTCTGCTACAGGGACTTGGATGCTCTCATGGTGTTGCTGCAAATCTGGTCGGTTCCCGCGAGCACTTGTAGCACGAAGCGGAAGTGACAGTGCACGCTCATCACCTTGCTGCACCTCCTCCTACTCTTCTCCCCCATTCATCTGAGGAGATTGCCTTGTGATTGTGCTGCTGCTACTCAGCTCCAAGGGCAGCTCCACATGCTCCAAGCCGGTACTCTTCACCTCTCCAAGCCGCACACCAATCTTCGCTTGGTTCTCCGCCTTCCACTCCTTGTACGGTAAGTTCTCCATGAACTTGCAATCTCTGCTCACCAAGAACTTCTTGGTAAATGGGTCCCAAAGAAGCCATCCCTTGCTGTTTTGAGCCATGCCCAGGTGCACGGCTCATGTTGTCTTGGCATCAAGCTTGTTGTGCCGAAGTTTCTTAGGCACAAGTGCCATGCACATGCACCCGAACACCCAGAGCATATCCACCTTCGGCTTCCTTCCAATCCACTCCACTTAGGGCACCCATTTGTCTTCTCCCACATGAGTCAAGGCTCTGTTCTTGGCTACACAAGCATGTCGCACCGCATCCGGCCAAAAGTAATTGGGAAGACCGGCTTCAATGAGAAGTCCCTGAGCCGTCTCCGTGAGTGTCCGATTCGCACGCTCGGCGATGCCGTTCATTGCAGGAGAGTAGGGCATGGTAAGAGAGTGCCTTATGCCCTGCTTCTTCAGCCAAGTTAAGAAATCCTTGCTCAGCAACTCTCCACCACGGTCAATGCGAATCGCCTTCACAAGTCGGTCTTGTTGCCGCTCCACCATCGGCAACCAATCGGTCTTCACCGTTTCAGCTACGTCACTCTTCTTGGGCAGCACATACACCCAAGTCATGCGAGTGTAGACGTCCACAATGGTGAGAAAGTCCTCAGCTTCAGCAGCTCCAAGCTTCAAGGGGCCCACCACATCCATCACCACCTCATCAAGTGGTGCCTTCGCCGTTGTCTCCGAGCTATGAAACGGGTAGCGGGTGAACTTGGCTTGCATGCATGTTGGACAGCCAAGCACCTCATTGGGCCCCCCCTTGACACGTATTCCACTGACCATCTCTTGCTTAACTATCTACTGCAAAATGGGCAATGCCACATGCCCCATTCGCCGATGCAAGGTCAGCCAATCACACTCTCCCGTAGCGGAAGTCGGGTTGGAGAAAGCGGCACTCGCAATCGTGCCCCACAAGCTCTCTCCTTTCTCATTTGCCGCTGCTGCTTTGCTGATCTTAGGCTTCACCTCCTCATTTTCACCACCTTTGGCTCCTGCACCATTTTCCTTGGGTTCACACGCCTTGCTGGTCTCTCCAAGGTTGCACTCTTTCGAGTCACTCTTGGTGTTACTTTGTTTTCCGTGATCACCGCCACCAACCGCTTCACTCTTGGTGCTGACGCTTGCTGCCACTTGCCTCTCCTTAGGCATGGGGACCACTGGGATTTGCCACATCTCATTGTAGATGTCCCTGTCCTCATGAAGGTCCCAAAGCTTCCGCTCACCAAGCCTCGCGGTATAGGTTTTGGAACCCTTGGAAGATGTGTCCATGCCGGCCTTTTGCAAACGCCGAACACAGATCAGGTTGGCTGCTAGGTTGGGCACCCAAAGCACGTTCTTGAGGCCCACCATCTTCCCATCAGCACCCTTGAACATGGCCTTGCCCATGCCTTTCACCTCTGCTCGCTGCCCCAAAGCCGATGTAACATGCTTGACCGGCGACGGTTCGAGTTCGGTGAGCAAGTCCGCACGAGGTGTCATGCTATTGGTGGCGCCGCTATTAGTTCTAGTCAGCTCCTTCGAGCCGTGTCAACAAGTCGAAGAATTTCTGCACTCCTTCCTCCACCGGTTCGCCTTCGTCAATTCGAAGTGCCGCCATTTGCCGCTCCAAAACCACAGCCACCGCCGCTGTTGCAGGAGCGTGTACACCCTTGAGAGCAGCCCATGCCTTTAGTCCCTTTGCTGGTTCACGCTGAAAAGGCTTGATGTGACGGATTTGGCTGCTCCCCAACGCTTGCCCAAGTAGAAGGTAGCCTTGTGCGCTCTTCCGCACCCACGGGCTTTTCTCCGGGTCGTTCTCGGGGCGCTTCTCCGTTCCTTCCATCACCTCCAGCAGATCATAGTGGTCAAAGATGTTCTCCATCTTGAAGGACCACTCAGCAAAGTTGTCACCGTTGAACTTGTCAAGGCCAAACACTCTAGGCTCATCCCTACAGGGTCCAAGGCTAGGTTGCACCGGAGCAACGGGTGGATCTTGGTGTTGACCTTGTGCTTGGGCGTCTTCACTGCCTCCAACACCTCTGCCACCCCCTTCCTCAGGTCTAGGCATTGTCGAGACGGCTCCAAAGGGCTCTGATACCACTGTTATAACCACAATAGGCTTAAATGTGCCTATAATGCAGGGCCTTAGATAGGATTTTAGGCATACTGATCAATCAGGGCGGGCCCCCAAAAAAACGTGTAGCAGTCAGGGTTGGTAGCTTATGTTCAGACTGATTCCTCAGGGTGGTTCTCCGCTCTATACTTTGGCCTCAGGGTAAATTCTCAAACGCTTGACATCTCAGAAGTCACTCTAAACAGCAGCAGCAGCACACTTGGCTTCACGCGTTGTGATGGGTTGAGGCACGAGTGGCCGAGTTTGCGTCAACTGTAGCGCACGAGGTAATCAGACCAGGAAAATTTTCTTCGTTTGACTGTCAGACAGAATTTTGCTGAGACCGGATGGGCGTTCAGCTTAAAGCGAATGAAGCCCCTGAAAACTCTGATGAAGTCAACGACAAGAAACGAAAAGTTGCATGAAAAAAACTGCAGTTCGATTTCCATCAAGCGGTTATGACGGCGTTTGACGAGGCTGGATGGTGAGGGCGCATTCCTCGCATGTGGCACACTCTATGGCAAGTCATTCTGTTTCCCAATTCAATGTGCAGGATCATCTGAATTTGTTTCTGGTAATCTTGACCGTGGAAAAACTAATAAAGTTAGCCACGAAGTATTCTGCCAAACGTGACGAATAATCCCTGAGTTGCAGTACTTGACGAGATTTTGAATCGACGTAACCTGGGCATCACGAATTCTATGAGGACTAGGCCAGAATTTTAGGGCTGCATAGAAGTTGTAGAAGTATGTCTATGGCAGGGAGAACTTAGCCGAAAAGTTTTAGTGAGTAGGGGGTGGGGCGGGGGGAGGATTGTCTCTAACATTTAGGACTTCGCCGAAATTTTAGAGCAGCGGGGGGGTTTCCGAGGATTGTCTCTAACTTTCAGGACTTAGCCAATTTTCGGGGGTTTTCGGAGGGCTGTTGCGACGTTTGAGGACTTAGCCGAAATGTAAAATTCGAGGCAAGGGCTACCCTAGTGGCGCACGTGCATTCAAGATTCGAAGAATCAGGGTTGTCCCCGAAGGCATACTGACATCTCAGGGCTGGTACACGAACACTTTACTGAATCCTCAGGGTTGCACTACGATTTAAAACTGAATTCACAGGGTGAAAAATGAGCTTAAACGGATTTTTCAGGTTTGGCACCTAACAGGCATCCTGAAAATCAGGAATTCAGGATAAAACATCCTGATATCTGAGGCCCTGCTATAATGAGAGATAGAGAGCACAGTCGGATTTCCGTCAGACGGCTTCAAATATTGATAACGATCTGGTCACTTAATCAAACGGTGATCTGTAAGTTGGATCTGGAGCGCGTTGCTGTCGTCTATCAGCAGCAAGTTGAATGATGAAATTTCATGAAGATTTGACGACGCTATGACGGTTTGACTGGCAGGAGGTATAGCAGCCACTATAGTCTTAGCAACAAACTTAGCAAGAAGAGTTCGAGAGGGAGATGGTTCCCAACCTCTACATACCCCAAGAGCCGAGGTCCAGGTTGGTGGTACACCACCACAGAGTCCCCAACCATGAAGAGTCTCGAAACCAACCCTCCAAGGGGCTACACCAAGTGAAATGTAACACTACACGAAGTAACGTTACTATTTTCACTATTTAATATTTATCCGCGTCCCTTGGGCTTGAAATCTTGAGCTCTTGTTCTTGGATCTGCAAGATAAATTTTTCTTGAGTTGATGGGGGCTTGCTGCACACACCTGCGACACGATGGACACTTCACACTCGACAAAATAGAAAAAACACATGCGACACACAAACGACGACTTGACATGCGAGTTGTAAAAACTCGCTAATGTCTTGACCGACACAAACCACATTGTGATACACCATTCAAACACACACACAAGCACTGGATAGCAATGACATAGACTCACAATTCATTCCATGCCATGCATGCACACACACAAACAAGGACGACAAGCCGAGTGCAAGCCATAGGGTTGCACCAACAAATAAGAGTCTAGTTTTGAGGCGCCTCATGACTAACACCACCTGGGGACATGGCACATGCAGAGGAGGGGGAATACGAGTCTAGTTTTGAGGCACCTCATGGCTAACACCACCTGGGGACATGGCACATGCAGAGGAGGGGGAATAAGAGTCTAGTTTTGAGGCGCCTCATGGCTAACACCACCTGGGGACATGGCACATGCAGAGGAGGGGGAATAAGAGTCTAGTTTTGAGGCGCCTCATGGCTAACACCACCTGGGGACATGGCACATGCAGAGGAGGGGGAATAAGAGTCTAGTTTTGAGGCGCCTCATGGCTAACACCACCTGGGGACATGGCACATGCAGAGGAGGGGGAATAAGAGTCTAGTTTTGAGGCGCCTCATGGCTAACACCACCTGGGGACATGGCACATGCAGAGGAGGGGGAATAAGAGTCTAGTTTAGAGGCGCCTCATGGCTAACACCACCTGGGGACATGGCACATGCAGAGGAGGGGGAATAAGAGTTTAGTTTTGAGGCGCCTCATGGCTAACACCACCTGGGGACATGGCACATGCAGAGGAGGGGGAATAAGAGTCTAGTTTTGAGGCGCCTCATGGCTAACACCACCTGGGGACATGGCACATGCAGAGGAGGGGGAATAAGAGTCTAGTTTTGAGGCGCCTCATGGCTAACACCACCTGGGGACATGGCACATGCAGAGGAGGGGGAATAAGAGTCGAGTTTTGAGGCGCCTCATGGCTAACACCACCTGGGGACATGGCACATGCAGAGGAGGGGGAATAAGAGTCCAGTTTTGAGGCGCCTCATGGCTAACACCACCTGGGGACATGGCACATGCAGAGGAGGGGGAATAAGAGTCTAGTTTTGAGGCGCCTCATGGCTAACACCACCTGGGGACATGGCACATGCAGAGGAGGGGGAATAAGAGTTTAGTTTTGAGGCGCCTCATGGCTAACACCACCTGGGGACATGGCACATGCAGAGGAGGGGGAATAAGAGTCTAGTTTTGAGGCGCCTCATGGCTAACACCACCTGGGGACATGGCACATGCAGAGGAGGGGGAATAAGAGTCTAGTTTTGAGGCGCCTCATGGCTAACACCACCTGGGGACATGGCACATGCAGAGGAGGGGGAATAAGAGTCGAGTTTTGAGGCGCCTCATGGCTAACACCACCTGGGGACATGGCACATGCAGAGGAGGGGGAATAAGAGTCCAGTTTTGAGGCGCCTCATGGCTAACACCACCTGGGGACATGGCACATGCAGAGGAGGGGGAATAAGAGTCTAGTTTTGAGGCGCCTCATGGCTAACACCACCTGGGGACATGGCACATGCAGAGGAGGGGGAATAAGAGTCTAGTTTTGAGGCGCCTCATGGCTAACACCACCTGGGGACATGGCACATGCAGAGGAGGGGGAATAAGAGTCCAGTTTTGAGGCGCCTCATGGCTAACACCACCTGGGGACATGGCACATGCAGAGGAGGGGGAATAAGAGTCTAGTTTTGAGGCGCCTCATGGCTAACACCACCTGCGGACATGGCACATGCAGAGGAGGGGGAATAAGAGTCTCGTTTTGAGGCGCCTCATGGCTAACACCACCTGGGGACATGGCACATGCAGAGGAGGGGGAATAAGAGTCTAGTTTTGAGGCGCCTCATGGCTAACACCACCTGGGGACATGGCACATGCAGAGGAGGGGGAATAAGAGTCTAGTTTTGAGGCGCCTCATGGCTAACACCACCTGGGGACATGGCACATGCAGAGGAGGGGGAATAAGAGTCTAGTTTTGAGGCGCCTCATGGCTAACACCACCTGAGGACATGGCACATGCAGAGGAGGGGGAATAAGAGTCTAGTTTTGAGGCGCCTCATGGCTAACACCACCTGGGGACATGGCACATGCAGAGGAAGGGGAATAAGAGGTGACCCCTGAGTCTGCCTCCACGTGGCGATGGCACAGGCAGAACGGGGGAGAGCAAAGATGGGGGAGAACGAAGATGGGATTAGATTTGAGCCAACTCGAGAGGCTTTGCTGCTGTGCACTCACACATACTGCCTGCCTGCCTGCCCACTGCCGGGATACAATACGACACAGGCAACAAGAGAACGGCATAAGGAGAAACGAGAGAAAGAGAAACGACGCGAGGACACGTCACAGGTACGTCGTGCCTGAAGGCAGGCAGTGGCTCTGCAGTAGCTATCACGCAGGAGCTTCTGAAAATGCTCAGAAATCTGCCCAGATAGAGTGGTACTAGCACGAAGAATACCGGTGATAAAATGCGAGAGGAATACCGACGGACCGATGGCGCATCATGAGGAGTTCCCCTGAGCGAAGAGGTTTTGGCACGGATCATGGTGCAGCGGCGTCACTGTTCCTGCCGGTCAGAACCACGCATTCACCACCGGAACCCGAGGGAGGTGGGCCACCTGAGCAAAGAGGTTGTGGCACGGACGGATCATGGCGCAATGAATTGTGGTGCACCAGAGAACTTTTTGGGACTGAAAAGTCATGAGAAATTCACCTGAGTGAAGAGGTTGTGGCACGTATCATGGTGCAGCGGCGTCACCGTGCCTGCTGGCCCAAACCACGCATTCACCACCGGATCCTCCCCCTCCTCCCCCTCCTCCCCCTCCTTCTCCTCCTCCTCCTCCCCCTCCTCCCCCTCCTTCTCCTCCTCCTCCTCCCCCTCCTCCCCCTCCTTCTCCTCCTCCTCCTCCCCCCCCCCCTCCTCCCCCCTCCTTCTCCTCCTCCTCCTCCCCTCCTCCCCCTCCTTCTCCTCCTCCTCCTCCCCCTCCTCCCCCTCCTTCTCCTCCTCCTCCTCCCACTCCTCCCCTCCTTCTCCTCCTCCTCCTCCCTCCTCCCCTCCTTCTCCTCCTCCTCCTCCCCTCCTCCCCTCCTTCTCCTCCTCCTCCTCCCCCTCCTTCTCCTCCTCCTCCTCCCCCTCCTCCCCTCCTTCTCCTCCTCCTCCTCCCCCTCCTCCCCCTCCTTCTCCTCCTCCTCCTCCCCCCCCTCCCCCTCCTTCTCCTCCTCCTCCTCCCTCCTCCTCCTCCTCCTCCTCCTCCTCCTCCTCCTCCTCCTCCTCCTCCTCCTCCCTCCTCCTCCTCCTCCTCCTCCTCCTCCTCCTCCTCCTCCTCCTCCCCCCCCTCCCCCTCCTTCTCCTCCTCCTCCTCCTCCTCCTCCTCCTCCTCCTCCTCCTCCTCCTCCTCCTCCTCCTCCTCCTCCTCCTCCTCCTCCTCCTCCTCCTCCTCCTCCTCCTCCTCCTCCTCCTCCTCCCCTCCTCCCCCTCCCCCTCCTCGCCGTCCCCCTCCTTCGCCTCCTCCTCCACTCCCCCCTCCCTGTTATCGATGTCCTCTTCTTCCTCTTTCGTCCTGCTGCCTTCAGTATCGCCTCTATCGCCCCCAAGGGACTGAGTGTGTGAGTCGCCATCGGGCTGAGATGGGGGGCAGGCGCCCTGAGCCAGCAGTAGGGGGGGATGTCGATGTCGGCATGCAGAATGGGGATCTGGGGATGGACGAGAGGGGGAGAGAAAAGGGGCTGTGTTGAGAAGGGCGGAGCAGAGCAAAAGGAAGCTTGGCTGCGTCTTGCCCCTCCCCCTTGCCCCTCCCCCTTGCCCCTCCCCCTTGCCCCTCCCCCTTGCCCCTCCCCCTTGCCCCTCCCCTTGCCCCTCCCCTTGCCCCTCCCCTTGCCTCTCCGCCTGCCTCTCCCCCTCACCTCCCCCCTGCCTCTCCCCCAGCCCCTCCCCCTCGCGTTTCTTGAGCGCATGCGGGTCTGCTCTTCCGCCCCATGCCTGCCTCAGCACGCCCTTCTGTCTGCCCCGGGGCGTCTGGAGCACTTGGCGGTCAATGAAGTCGCCCAGACTCATCAGCTCCTGCGTCCATCCCTCCTTCAGGTAGCTACTGCCCATCTGAGTGGGTGCGGTGGGGTGCGATGCGGTGCCGTGCGGTGGGGTGGGGTGGGAGATGGGGGAGAGTGTACGCGGCTTTACCTCGCTTGGCACACGCGCTCCTCCTGCCTCCACCGTTCCGCCAGGTAGCTGCTCTGCTGCCCATCTGAGTGGGTCTGTACGAGCGGTTTGAGGTTGAGAGCGGTTGGGATGGATGCACGGATGGATGAAAGGATTGATAGTAGAGGAAGAGGGGTCAGAAGGCCTTTCAGCAAACTGGAAGGAAGAACTGGGATGATAGGACGCATCCTCCTTTCCCACGCACGTGTGGGGGTAGGAGTGTGGGGCATGGGGGTAGGAGCGTGGGGCATGTGGGTAGGAGTGTGGGGCATGTGGGTAGGAGTGTGGGGCATGTGGGTAGGAGTGTCGGGCATGGGGGTAGGAGCGTGGGGCATGTGGGTAGGAGCGTGGGGCATGTGGGTAGGAGTGTGGGGCATGTGGGTAGGAGTGTGGGGCATGTGGGTAGGAGTGTGGGGCATGTGGGTAGGAGTGTGGGGCATGTGGGTAGGAGTGTCGGGCATGGGGGTAGGAGCGTGGGGCATGTGGGTAGGAGTGTGGGGCATGGGGGTAGGAGTGTGGGGCATGTGGGTAGGAGTGTGGGGCATGTGGGTAGGAGTGTGGGGCATGTGGGTAGGAGTGTGGGGCATGTGGGTAGGAGTGTCGGGCATGGGGGTAGGAGCGTGGAGCATGTGGGTAGGAGTGTGGGGCATGTGGGTAGGAGTGTGGGGCATGTGGGTAGGAGTGTGGGGCATGTGGGTAGGAGTGTGGGGCATGTGGGTAGGAGTGTGGGGCATGTGGGTAGGAGTGTGGGGCATGTGGGTAGGAGTGTGGGGCATGTAGGTAGGAGTGTGGGGCATGTGGGTAGGAGTGTGGGACATGTGGGTAGGAGTGTCGGGCATGGGGGTAGGAGCGTGGAGCATGTGGGTAGGAGTGTGGGGCATGTGGGTAGGAGTGTGGGGCATGTGGGTAGGAGTGTGGGGCATGTGGGTAGGAGTGTCGGGCATGGGGGTAGGAGCGTGGAGCATGTGGGTAGGAGTGTGGGGCATGTGGGTAGGAGTGTGGGGCATGTGGGTAGGAGTGTGGGGCATGTAGGTAGGAGTGTGGGGCATGTGGGTAGGAGTGTGGGGCATGTGGGTAGGAGTGTCGGGCATGGGGGTAGGAGCGTGGAGCATGTGGGTAGGAGTGTGGGGCATGTGGGTAGGAGTGTGGGGCATGTGGGTAGGAGTGTGGGGCATGTGGGTAGGAGTGTGGGGCATGTGGGTAGGAGTGTGGGGCATGTGGATAGGAGTGTGGGGCATGTGGGTAGGAGTGTGGGGCATGTGGGTAGGAGTGTGGAGCATGTGGATAGGAGTGTGGGGCATGTGGGTAGGAGTGTGGGGCATGTGGGTAGGAGTGTGGGGCATGTGGGTAGGAGTGTGGGGCATGTGGGTAGGAGTGTGGGGCATGTGGGTAGGAGTGTGGGGCATGGGGGTAGGAGTGTGGGGCATGTGGGTAGGAGTGTGGGGCATGTGGGTAGGAGTGTGGGGCATGTGGGTAGGAGTGTGGGGCATGTGGGTAGGAGTGTCGGGCATGGGGGTAGGAGCGTGGAGCATGTGGGTAGGAGTGTGGGGCATGTGGGTAGGAGTGTGGGGCATGTGGGTAGGAGTGTGGGGCATGTGGGTAGGAGTGTGGGGCATGTGGGTAGGAGTGTGGGGCATGTGGGTAGGAGTGTGGGGCATGTGGGTAGGAGTGTGGGGCATGTAGGTAGGAGTGTGGGGCATGTGGGTAGGAGTGTGGGGCATGTGGGTAGGAGTGTCGGGCATGGGGGTAGGAGCGTGGAGCATGTGGGTAGGAGTGTGGGGCATGTGGGTAGGAGTGTGGGGCATGTGGGTAGGAGTGTGGGGCATGTGGGTAGGAGTGTCGGGCATGGGGGTAGGAGCGTGGAGCATGTGGGTAGGAGTGTGGGGCATGTGGGTAGGAGTGTGGGGCATGTGGGTAGGAGTGTGGGGCATGTAGGTAGGAGTGTGGGGCATGTGGGTAGGAGTGTGGGGCATGTGGGTAGGAGTGTCGGGCATGGGGGTAGGAGCGTGGAGCATGTGGGTAGGAGTGTGGGGCATGTGGGTAGGAGTGTGGGGCATGTGGGTAGGAGTGTGGGGCATGTGGGTAGGAGTGTGGGGCATGTGGGTAGGAGTGTGGGGCATGTGGATAGGAGTGTGGGGCATGTGGGTAGGAGTGTGGGGCATGTGGGTAGGAGTGTGGAGCATGTGGATAGGAGTGTGGGGCATGTGGGTAGGAGTGTGGGGCATGTGGGTAGGAGTGTGGGGCATGTGGGTAGGAGTGTGGGGCATGTGGGTAGGAGTGTGGGGCATGTGGGTAGGAGTGTGGGGCATGTGGGTAGGAGTGTGGGGCATGTGGATAGGAGTGTGGGGCATGTGGGTAGGAGTGTGGGGCATGTGGGTAGGAGTGTGGAGCATGTGGGTAGGAGTGTCGGGCATGGGGGTAGGAGCGTGGGGCATGTGGGTAGGAGTGTGGGGCATGTGGGTAGGAGTGTCGGGCATGGGGGTAGGAGCGTGGGGCATGTGGGTAGGAGCGTGGGGCATGTGGGTAGGAGTGTGGGGCATGTGGGTAGGAGTGTGGGGCATGTGGGTAGGAGTGTGGGGCATGTGGGTAGGAGTGTGGGGCATGTGGGTAGGAGTGTCGGGCATGGGGGTAGGAGCGTGGGGCATGTGGGTAGGAGTGTGGGGCATGGGGGTAGGAGTGTGGGGCATGTGGGTAGGAGTGTGGGGCATGTGGGTAGGAGTGTGGGGCATGTGGGTAGGAGTGTGGGGCATGTGGGTAGGAGTGTCGGGCATGGGGGTAGGAGCGTGGAGCATGTGGGTAGGAGTGTGGGGCATGTGGGTAGGAGTGTGGGGCATGTGGGTAGGAGTGTGGGGCATGTGGGTAGGAGTGTGGGGCATGTGGGTAGGAGTGTGGGGCATGTGGGTAGGAGTGTGGGGCATGTGGGTAGGAGTGTGGGGCATGTAGGTAGGAGTGTGGGGCATGTGGGTAGGAGTGTGGGGCATGTGGGTAGGAGTGTCGGGCATGGGGGTAGGAGCGTGGAGCATGTGGGTAGGAGTGTGGGGCATGTGGGTAGGAGTGTGGGGCATGTGGGTAGGAGTGTGGGGCATGTGGGTAGGAGTGTCGGGCATGGGGGTAGGAGCGTGGAGCATGTGGGTAGGAGTGTGGGGCATGTGGGTAGGAGTGTGGGGCATGTGGGTAGGAGTGTGGGGCATGTAGGTAGGAGTGTGGGGCATGTGGGTAGGAGTGTGGGGCATGTGGGTAGGAGTGTCGGGCATGGGGGTAGGAGCGTGGAGCATGTGGGTAGGAGTGTGGGGCATGTGGGTAGGAGTGTGGGGCATGTGGGTAGGAGTGTGGGGCATGTGGGTAGGAGTGTGGGGCATGTGGGTAGGAGTGTGGGGCATGTGGATAGGAGTGTGGGGCATGTGGGTAGGAGTGTGGGGCATGTGGGTAGGAGTGTGGAGCATGTGGATAGGAGTGTGGGGCATGTGGGTAGGAGTGTGGGGCATGTGGGTAGGAGTGTGGGGCATGTGGGTAGGAGTGTGGGGCATGTGGGTAGGAGTGTGGGGCATGTGGGTAGGAGTGTGGGGCATGTGGATAGGAGTGTGGGGCATGTGGGTAGGAGTGTGGGGCATGTGGGTAGGAGTGTGGAGCATGTGGATAGGAGTGTGGGGCATGTGGGTAGGAGTGTGGGGCATGTGGGTAGGAGTGTGGGGCATGTGGGTAGGAGTGTCGGGCATGGGGGTAGGAGCGTGGAGCATGTGGGTAGGAGTGTGGGGCATGTGGGTAGGAGTGTGGAGCATGTGGGTAGGAGTGTGGGGCATGTGGGTAGGAGTGTGGGGCATGTGGGTAGGAGTGTGGGGCATGTGGGTAGGAGTGTGGGGCATGTGGGTAGGAGAGTGGGGCATGTGGGTAGGAGTGTGGAACATGTGGGTAGGAGTGTGGGGCATGTGGGTAGGAGTGTGGTGTGGGGCATGTGGGTAGGAGTGTGGGGCATGTGGATAGGAGTGTGGGGCATGTGGGTAGGAGTGTGGGGCATGTGGGTAGGAGTGTGGGGCATGTAGGTAGGAGTGTGGGGCATGTGGATAGGAGTGTGGGGCATGTGGGTAGGAGTGTGGAGCATGTGGGTAGGAGTGTGGGGCATGTGGGTAGGAGTGTGGGGCATGTGGGTAGGAGTGTGGGGCATGTGGGTAGGAGTGTGGGGCATGTGGGTAGGAGTGTGGGGCATGTGGGTAGGAGAGTGGGGCATGTGGGTAGGAGTGTGGAACATGTGGGTAGGAGTGTGGGGCATGTGGGTAGGAGTGTGGTGTGGGGCATGTGGGTAGGAGTGTGGGGCATGTGGGTAGGAGTGTGGAGCATGTGGGTAGGAGTGTGGGGCATGTGGGTAGGAGTGTGGGGCATGTGGGTAGGAGTGTGGGGCATGTGGGTAGGAGTGTGGGGCATGTGGGTAGGAGAGTGGGGCATGTGGGTAGGAGTGTGGAACATGTGGGTAGGAGTGTGGGGCATGTGGATAGGAGTGTGGGGCATGTGGGTAGGAGCGTGGGGCATGTGGGTAGGAGCGTGGGGCATGTGGGTAGGAGTGTGGGGCATGTGGGTAGGAGAGTGGGGCATGTGGGTAGGAGTGTGGAGCATGTGGGTAGGAGTGTGGGGCATGTGGGTAGGAGTGTGGGGCATGTGGGTAGGAGTGTGGGGCATGTGGGTAGGAGTGTGGGGCATGTGGGTAGGAGATTGGGGCATGTGGGTAGGAGTGTGGAGCATGTGGGTAGGAGTGTGGGGCATGTGGGTAGGAGTGTGGGGCATGTGGGTAGGAGTGTGGGACATGTGGGTAGGAGTGTGGGGCATGTGGGTAGGAGTGTTGGGCATGTGGGTAGGAGTGTGGGGCATGTGGGTAGGAGTGTGGGGGAGGGGGGCGGGGTGGTGTGTCAGCTGGTGATTTCTCTCCCTCTGTGCGCTCTTGTTCTTGCTCCTGCTGCTCCTGCTCCTGCTGCTCCTGCTCCTGCTGCTCCTGCTCCTGCTGCTCTTGCTCTTGCTGCTCCTGCTCTTGCTGCTCCTGCTGCCGTTGCTCCTCCCCACTCTTCCCCTCCCCCCGCTCCCCCCTGTCGTGCCCCCTCTCCCCCTCCCCGTCTCCCCCGTCCCCCCTCACCCGCGCCTCGATCTCCCGCACAGCCGCATTGATAGCTCCGCGGAACATGTTGCCGCCCAGCATGAGACCCACGTCCAGCAGGCGCAGACATACCGTCAGGCGGGTGCTAGTTGTGGGAGTGAGTGTATGGGGGGTAGCGGACGAAAGGGGAGCTACTGTGGGGGGGTTGGCGGCAGCAGCAGTGGTAGGAGGAGGAGGAGGAGGAGAGGCAGCAGAAGCGGCGTTGGTGGCCATGGCAAGGCATGTGAGCGCGTAGGCGTCGCGCCATGCCACGTGGACGTCCTTCCACGGGGCCCCGTGGATGTGCTCCCATGCCACCTCATGCACAGCCTACAGTGACATGTCAGCATGGGAGCCGCCATTGCCATCACCATCGGAGTCCGCATCAGCACCAGCATCAGCACCAGCACCAGCACCAGCACCAGCATCAGCACCAGCATCAGCACCAGCATCAGCACCAGCATCAGCACCAGCACCAGCACCAGCATCAGCATCAGCACCAGCATCAGCACCAGCATCAGTAATAGCATCGGCAGGACCATCACCATCTCTAGCAGCATCAAGATTAGCCTCTGCTTTCCCCTCGTCTCTCTCCTCCACTATCCCATTCCCCACTCCCTCTCCGCTCCCTCCCTTCTCCGCCTCTCTCTTCCGCCTCTTCCGCCTCTTCCCCTCCCTCTCCTCCCCGTCCTCCCCCCAATCCCCTTCCCCAGTCCAATCCCCGTTCCCCCTCCTATCGTCGTCCCCTTTTCCACCCCTCTCCTCTATCCGCTCTCGTCTTTCTCCTCCCCCTTCCCGCGCCCCGCCCACGTTTCCCGCATCCGCGCAAAGGCCGAACTTTGCGCGCAGAGCTTCCGCCAGCAATGCGGCGCACGTGCGCCCCCCGCACGCGCGGAGAAGGCGCAGCAGCTCCCGCACGCTCTCGGCGTCCACCCGCTGCGGGAAATCCATAATTGCAGCAAGCATTTGTCTTCGATCATCTAGAATACACTGTTTACCGCTTATGATAGCAAGCGACTGAGCGCACGTTGAATATCAATGCAAGTTGATAGTGGGCTTACCGAAGCGTTAGTAGCAGCGCGGCGCACCACAACATTCTGGGGAAAACAGATGGGACGAATTTGAACGCGCTATGCACGGCGCATTGTATGGTACTACGATACTGTTCCAAACACAAGCTAGAGCGTCACCTGCATAGAAAGGGGGTTAGTATGACCAGAGAAATAAGATGAAAAAACAAGGAAAATAGTATTTTTAGATGGAAATTAAGATTTTTATTCTTGTAATGTTTTGCATTTCAGATGCAACGAGTACACTATCTTCAAATGTATGTAAAGAATTAGAATTCGCATGTTTCGCATCCGTTTTTTAAAGTCCAAACGAATCATATCATACTGGAAGTCTGATCTGCTGCTGGTGTCCCCTTCCTCTTCGCCTTTCCCCTGTGCCTGCTGGGTGCTGATCCACGAATCTCACTCACTGCCATCCAGCACCCAGCCAGCACCGCCAGTCAGTTTCCGATTACTGTACTGGCTGGTACTGCACACAACATACTTGACAGGAAATTGAAGAGAGCCAATCCAGACCACCGCAGGAGGAGCGAGCCGGAGTGGAGTCCTGTGCCCGAGCCGAGAGCCAGAACACCACAGAACATCGCGTAGCGCATCCAGCGATCTGGCCGTTGCGTCGGATTTGAGGTTGGAATCGTGGCCCTTGAAGGTCGGTGCGGCACTCGCAGCGGTTATTGCTGTGGCTGTTGTGTGCGGTAGCGGCGGTTGCGGAATCGTGGCCCTTGCGTTCTGAGATCGCTGGACTGGACGGACCTGGACGACTCGATGATTCGATAATTCGATCATTCGATCCGGGTCAACGAACGGAATTCTGGTTTCCCTTCAAATAGCGTGCGCTTGAGTCGACCAGGAATTTATTAAAGGACATCCCGCATCCCGGCTTTAACCTTAATACCGTCCTGGTTACGGCCACGGTGTCTGCAAACGCCTTTTTGAATACTGCTTCTCATAGTCCTCTCTAGACTTCGGAAAGCGCGTTTACCGCGTGAATTTCATTCGCGGCTGAAACTTCTTCGTTACTTGGGCTTGGTGCAATCGACCAGCAGCCTTCCGGGAGTGTACGGTTCGGCTTTAATGAGCTGATTTCGTAGGAATTCCCCAATATACCTAGTCCTGCTCCACGTGTTAAGAGTCTCGTCAAGTTCTTCGGCACCTTCGGCGGCGACACGCAGACTGGTCCGTAGGCCTGCTACAATTCGCCAACCAGTCGCATCTTGTCGCCAACCACCCGCTCCTTTTCGCCAACCAGTCGCTGCTTTTCGCCAACCGTCGCTCCTTTTCGCTAACCACCCCCATCTGCTTCCGCCATGCGGGGAGGCCAGAAGCGCCCGTCCGGCGCAGGCGCAGCAGCGCGCGGGGAGACGGCGATGGGCACGCTCTTCATCCTAATCCTCCTCGCTATAGTCGGCTTCGCTGCCACGTACAGCGTGCTCTCCGCTCTCTCCCCGCCGCCCTCCATCCTCGTCGACGACGATCTCGACCTCGAGGTGTGTTTTGACTCTTGAGTCGACTCAAAACACTCTTGGTGATAGTAATATAGTTCCGAGACGTCGCAAGCCTAGATTATCTTCACACGGGCTCTCTCCCCGCCGCCCTCCATCCTCGTTGACGACGATCTCGACCTGTAATGTTTTTTTTCGGGCAGCTTGATAACTGGGGTGGGAAATTTTTGGGGCAGCCTTAATTCGTAGAAGTAGCTCAAGCATTGGTCCAGACTAGAGGGAAGCGATTTGCGGAAGTCGAAAGTCGAAAGTCGGAATTCGGGAGGGAGAGGGGGGTGGCCGTGGCCAAGAAGGTGTTGGGTTTGCTGGTGGTCGGTTGATGACTATCCTCCCCCCCCACTCCTCCACTCCACATCCCTCCTCCCCCTTCCACGCCTTTTCCCTCGATCTCACCTCCACCTCCTTCCCCTCCCCCTCCCCCCCCGCCCCCCCCTCTTCTCCTCCCCCTCCCCCTTCCCTTCCTCTCCTACTTCCCCTCCCGCTCCCTCTTCCCCTCCCCTTCCCTCTTCCCCTTCCCCTCCCTCTTCCCCTTCCGCTTCCCCTTTCCCCCAGGCTGCTTCCCCATCCGCCTCTGAAGCAGCAGCAGCCACAGGCGCGGGCGCGCAGGGGGGGGCTAGCAGCAGGGGCGTGGGGGAAGGCGGGGGAGCGGGGGAGGGCTCGTCAGGGGGCGGAGGTAGCGAGGAGACGCGGGATTTCTGCCTGGGGGAGGAGCACCTGGAGCTATGGGGGGATGCGGTGAAGTGGGGCAGCAACAACCCCACCGACACTGCTGCCGCCTGCTGCCAGCAGTGCAAGTGAGCGGGGGGGAGGGGGGGAAGGGGGAGGGGGGCGGGGGGGTGGGGAAACAGGGGAACAGGGGGACATGGGGAGTGGAGGTACTGGGGGGACTGGGGGACTGGGGGACTGGGGGACTGGGGGACTGGGGGATTGGGGACTGGGGACTGGGGGAACTGCTCTGCTGCTGCCAGCGGTCAGAGGCTGATGGATTTGAGTCGACTCAAAAGCGGTCAGAGGCTGCTGGATGGCATTCTGGAGGCAGTTGTAGGGAGAGAGGTTGCAAAACTGGGACACTGAAGGGAATGGGTCCAGTTGGAGGGGTAACTGTTACCAGGTAACACTACCGAGAGATCCGTTATCTGAACGAGGCGCTCATGATCCAATCTTTGCTGCTGTTGAATAGAGTCAACCCTCCCTGTTCCTTTCCCCCGTTCCGTCATCCCTTTCCTCCCTCTGTCCCAATTGCCTCCTGCAGTCGTCTGCTCCTTTCGTTCCCCCCCCCACCTTCTGTCCTCCTTTTCGTCCTCGTACCTTGAATTGTTTATCCGCTCATGCTCCTCCCTCCATACGTCTCCTCCTTTTCGTTTTTGTTTCTCCGTTTGCCTACCTTCCTGCCTCCTTCCTCCTCTATGGCATGCACTCAACTCAACACCTCCCTTGACCACCGCCTGTTTTCTCCTGCTACGGAGGAGTCATTCTTTAGAATTCTAAAATGTGGCATCCACTCAACAACACCCCCCTCGACCGCCGCCTCGTTTCTCTGCCTCCCTCTTCCTCTCTCCTTCTCCCCTCCGGTTCCTTCATCTCCCTCCCTGCGCAATGCAGGGACATGTGCAGTGGCGCTGTATGCCAGTGCAACGCGTGGGTGTACTGTGGGAGCAAGGAGCTCTGCAAAGACAACTTCAGGCAGGTGCGCGATGGGGGGGGGGGGGTGGTTTGGGGGGGATGTAGGGGGGAAACGGTTGGGGGGAAGTGAGGGATTTGAAGAATTGGGACTTGGTACGTGTGGCTGGTGGAGAAGCATGCATGTGATGGATGTGATGCATGTGATGCATGTGATGTGATGGATGTGATGGATGTGATGCATGTGATGCATGGCGCCTAGACTAGTACGTGTACGTGTACGGAGTGAGGCATGGCGCTGTGTGCCAGTGCTACGCGTGGGTGTGCTGTGGGAGCAACGAGCTCTGCAAAGACAACTTCAGGCAGGTGCGCCATGGGGGGGGGGGGGTGGAGAGGGGAGGGGAAGGGGGGATTAGGGTTAGGAAGGGGCGGGGATGGGACAGAGCAGATGAGTTAAGATCAGGGTGAAGTATTTCCACATTTGGGCTTGCTTTTGAGTCGACTCAGAAGTATTTCCACATTTGGGCTCAACTGCAAAACATGTGAAAGCGGGTTACTTCATTTGTGAGGGCGAAGTTGTGGGTTGGTCTTGGAGAACGCAGTGATTGGCCAACAACGATTCGCAAGAGCCGCGTTGGGCTGCCCACCCTTTTGGCCCCGTAAAATGCAAAAAATTGACACAGAACACTAGGCTTTCGTGTCCCACACCCTGACAATGGCAAATGGCTATGTAGGTGTGCGTGGGAGTCATGTGTGGTTCCAGCTACGGTTCGGTTCCTGGCTGCTAAAATTCCTAACCCGTTTCGTGTCGCTCGCAACCCTTGTCACACCCTTCATCAAATTTGGCTCCTGTCAGGCCAATCTCAATAGAACACGTCTCTCAAGTGTCTCACTCACATCACATGTCTCACGTGTCTCACGTGTGGAGCCTTCGGGAAATCCTAGACCCTGGTTAAAAGTGTGCTGCTTGCATGATGTTGCATGAAATTCACGACGCCTGGGGGGGCGGGGGGGGTAGGCATTCTGCGTGGTCTGTGTTCCCGTTCTTTCTCGATATCCCATCCCATCATCTCTCAGTGGTGTTTGGAGCGCCGTGAGGACGCAACGCAAGGATGTGTATGGCATCAACAACTTCAAGAAACTAAAGAAACTTAAAGAAACTTAAAGAAACTTAAAGAAACTTAAAGAAACTTCAAGAAAGTTCAAGAAACTTAAAGAAACTTCAAGAAACTTCAAGAAACTTCAAGAAACCTTTAGAAGCTTCAAGAAACTTCTTCAAACACCCCATCGTCTGCCCTAACCACCGTCCACCCCCTGATCGCCCCCCTCACTCCGTTAACCTCGTCCCCCTTCCGGCCATTATTGGTTGAAGTACCAGTGGGATGTATTGAATCCGGAGGTATATGGTAGGTAACAGCAACAACCCTGACATCTCACAACTTCTACACCAACCAATCTCTCTCCCCTTCCCTCCCCCTGCCACTCTCTTCCCTCCTCTCCCTCCTCCCCTTCCCCCCCCCCCATAGTGTTGGTTGAAGCGCCAGGAGGATGTGTTGAAACCCGAGGTGTATGGCAACAACAACCTTGACATCTCACCTTCGCTTCCCCAACCACTCTCCCTCCCAACCCTGACTTCCCCGACCACTCTCCCCTTTCTCCTCGTTTTGCTCCCCCCTGTCCAGTGTTGGTTGAAGCGGCAGGAGGATGTGTTGAAGCCGGAGGTGTATGGCAACAACCCTGACATCCCATGGACTTCAGGCCTCGTGCATGGGGCAGGCAAGGTGAGGGGGCGGGAGAGGAGGGACGGGGGAGGAGGGGCGGGGGAGGAGGGGCGGGAGAGGAGGGGCGGGGGAGGGGAAGGGGGAGGGGAAGGGGATAGGGGGAAGGGGAAGAAGGGGACTCGGAAGTAGGGGAATGGGGGAGGAGACGGGAGAGGAAGGGAGGGAGATGAGATGGGGTGTCGTGGGGAAGGGATGTGATGTGAGGCATGTGTGACTATGGATGGGTATGTATGAGCAGCTGCCTGCACAGCCGGATGAACATATGGAGTGATGGAGTGATGATAACTGACAAGGGGATCGCTGCCTTTGTGTCTCCTCCTCCCTCCCTCTCCCTACGCTGTTTCTGGGCTGCCTAAAAGCCTTCCCTTTTTTCAGCTGAGTTGAGCCTTGCCTGGATCTCTCAGCTTTGTGTAGTTCAGCATGTGTTTTTTTAGTCGACTAAAAAATCAGCATGTGCATCTCTGCTTTCTTGGGACAGCTTCCTACCTATACATCGCTGTTCCTTCCTCCGCCCCCCACCCCGTCTCGCCACGTGGCTATGGACCAATGGGTATGAATCGCTTCATGTGCAATGGTCGTTGCGTGCAGGGCATCATTGCGCTTCATACAGAGCACGGTGACATCCGAATCAAGGTACCATCATGCATGCATGCATCCCCTGCCCCCCCCCCCCATCCCAATGCAATGATCCCCCATGCCACCCCCCCATTTCCCATGCCAACCTCTTTCTCGTTCGTCCCATGCCAACTTGTTCTTCCTCTGAACGTTCCGAACCAGGCTCATGACCTTACTGGGCTCATGACCTTACTGGGCTCATGACCTTACTGGGCTCATGACCTTACTGGGTGCACCTCTCCATTGGCCCCACTGCCTCTTTCCCTCCCCCCCCCTCCCTTCCTCGCTCCCTCCTCCCATACCCTCCCGTTCGTCCTCCTTTCTTAGCATGCTGCCCTTCCAACCATGAGCAACAGCGACGTGGCTTGTCTGAGTGAAACAGTTGGATCGTTCGACTCTCTTTTTGCAAGGGCAGTTTCCTCTTTCGTTCCTTCTTGCGCATTGCAAGGGCAATTCTCTCTGCATTGCTGCTCTTCCTTCAACCCATGAACGGCGAGGACTGCACCGGCTGCACAATTCGAATCAAGAGTCGCCCATCCCATCCTTCTACTCACTTTTTCCCCTCTCTCCCTCCGCTGCTTGATTCTCTCTCCCTCGGCTGCTTGATTCTCTCTCCCTCCGCTGCTTGATTCTCTCTCCCTCCGCTGCTTGATTCTCTCTCCCTCCGCTGCTTGATTCTCTCTCCCTCCGCTGCTTGATTCTCTCTCCCGCGCACCTTCTGCCCTCCTGGCCACCCTAGACAGTGGGGTGCATCTGGGAGCTGCGATACTTCACCTTAAGTACTGCACCAGCTGCACCAGTCAACTCACCTGTCCCTTCACTCCTGCTTCTTCCGCCCTTCCCGCCCCTCCCCGCCCCTCCCCGCCCCTCCCCGCCCCTCCCCGCCCCTCCCCGCCCCTCCCTCCCCCCCGTCCCCTCGCTGTCCATCTCTCTCAGCTTCTACCCTCGTGGGCGCCCAAGACAGTGGGGTACATCCGGGAGATACTGCACCTCAAGTACTGCACGGGCTGCCAGCTGTACCGGGCAGAGGGGCTGGGGGAGGGGTGGAGCAAGGACGGCAGCAGGACCAGCAAGGTCAGCGCCACACCTTTCTCTGTCTCCTCTCTGCTGCTCTGCTCTTCCACAGTTTTTCGTTCTCTTTTCCTTTCCTTTTCCCAGTCAGCTATCTGTCTCTGCATCTTCTTTCACTACCCTCACTTCTTCTGCTCCGCTTCCCCTTCTGTTAGTATAGGTCCAGAAGCAAACTAGGAGACTAGGCAGTTTGGCGAGAAATTATTGACTAGGAGAAATTTCGAGAGTCAAGTTACGAGGAAAGTTCTGTTTAGAAATGAACCTAAACTGAAATCAAGATGTGACCTTTTCTATATTATGCCTAGAAATTGTATAAGGCCATAGTAAATAGCAGAGCCTGCTCCAACACATTACCCTTGACCATTTTCCCCCTCTCCCTACGCTCTGGTGCAGGGAATCCTCCTCACAGACGGCCTGCCCTTCATTCATTTCCCTCACTTTCTCAACTTCCCCTGTTTCCTTCCCCTTCACCATCCTCCCCCCCACCCCCCATCTCCCGTCATTTCCCCTCACCTACCCGCCTCCCCCTTCCGCTTCCCCTTCCCCGCTTCCTTCCCCTTTCCCCGTCCGACCCGCCTCCTTCTCCCCAGCCCCCCGGTCCGCCCTATGCCCTACTGCAGGGGATTCTCCTCACAGACGGCCTTCCCTTCAAGCCCATTCCCCGGGAATCCGCGCCCATCGTGCACAGGGGCGATGTGTGCCTCGTAGGGGAGGGCCCGGACTTCTTCATCTCTCTTGCCGATCACACCGAGTGGGGCCACGCGCACACGGTTTTTGGGCGGGTGCCTGAGGAGGACCTGGAGGGCCCTGTTGCAAAGATTTTGGCGCTGCCCGTGAAGCAGGAGAGCTGGGGCAGCACGAAAGTGCTGGCGCTGGAAAATCCGGTCGGGTTTGAGGTCAAGAGGGATACGAGTGGGCTCCAGTTCTAGCATGGAAAAGATGGTGAGGAGAGGGGTGAAGAAGAGGTCTCGGGAAGATTAGGAGAAGAGGGAAAGGAAGGAGAGGGTGGGGTAGATAGAGATGACTGTTGAAGTATACTCCAACAATGACTAGTAGGATGGAGGTTGGGGAAGAGTTGGGAGAAGGTTGAGGTGAGGACGTGTGGGGGAGGAAAGAACAATGTCAATGGACAGACAGAGTTGGTTGAAAGAAGAATGTGAGCTGCAGCCTAGATGGACAGCAAAGTGCTATGCTACACGGAAGCTTGAGGTTGGAAAGGTGCAGTTGGCTGTTATGGTGAAACTAAGTTGAAAAACCTGAATGCCTCTGGACTGTGGAGTGCAAGTGTACTACCTATGTCCTAGACAATGTTGACCCAGTATGGTAGTACACTGCTGTACAACGAGCAGATGCGTTATCATAAGTTTATGGAACATGTCCAGCAGATCATGTAACTGTTAAGATTATATAAGTTATATATAATTGATAGGCTTGATAGTTGTTACTGAACCTTGCTGTAGAGGGTACAATCCCCTCCTTGTACCCCTCTCTCTTTCTAATCGCCCCTCTTTTCTCTCGACACTTTCCTCCCCTAACTAAACCTCTGGCCGCCATTTCATGGCGGCCTTTCTTCCTAGTTAAGCTAGCATTTAGACATGGTTTCAGAGCAGGCCGTCCGTCCCGGGCCTGCTCACTACGTTTCCGCTGCGCACTCCTGCTGCGTTTGCCGCCTTCGCGGCTTTCTGCCTGCTTGCCGTCGTGGCACCAAGATGTCGCGGCGGCCCCTTGATGCTGCCGTCCCGAGCTCGACGAGCAGCTGCGGCTCCGACGCCACGCTGCTGTGGTGTCATTTTGGTGCCGCGGCGGTGTCGTCGAACGGCAGCCGCCGAGTTTCACCTCCGCAGCTGCTGGACGCGCAGTGCGTCCGCCCGCCAGTAAGCGCCGCGCCTATGGCGCCGCGCTGAAGTCCTGCAGCCCCACCACAGCAGCCCCACCACCTCTCCCTCCCCTGCACCTCCTCCTGCTCCTGCCGTAGCTGCTGTCTTCGGCTCGGTCGTCGCCAGCCCGTGCCACACCGCCGAGAGCCCTCAGCCGCCGCAGTCGCCGCCTGTCCTCATCGACACAGCCGCCTTGAGCACGAGCTCCGCCGCTGTCGCCATTGAGGCCGCCCAGATGCGGCCAGCCTTTCGTCCGGGGGTGTCATCGCCTAGCACGAGGGGTCGATACCCGGCTGCTCACGAGAATGAGGGAGTCCGGGGTTAGGGGGTGTGTGTATGTGTTGGGTGGGTGTGTGACTACCAAGCCTAGGGGGTGTGTTAAGATTATATAAGTTATATATAATTGATAGGCTTGATAGTTGTTACTGAACCTTGCTGTAGAGGGTACAATCCCCTCCTTGTACCCCTCTCTCTTTCTAATTGCCCCTCTTTTCTCTCGACACTTTCCTCCCCTAACTAAACCTCTGGCCGCCATTTCATGGCGGCCTTTCTTCCTAGTTAAGCTAGCATTTAGACAGTAACATGTTGCATTCACCTTCTGCCCACAAGACAAATGTGTAGTAGAGTAGTCCATAAACGCTGCATGTTGATATCCTGTTCAAGTTAGGCAATTTTAGAGATGAACAGAGTCCATTCCTACAGATCCAAAGTGGGGTCATGTTAGCAACTACATGGGCAAATCTAAGCCAGCTAGCAAGTTGGGTTCGGTACACAGATGAGTTGTTTGTTACTGTGACTTGTTACACACAGTAAGCGCACAGCAGCTGGCATGGTTTGTCACAAGACTAGCTTAGCTAAGAAGCCATAAAATGGCATGAGGTTTAGCTAGGAGCTAGGAGGAGCCATGGAAATGGCGAGAGGTTTTAGGTGCTAGGAAAGTTGAGGAGAGAAAAGAGTGTTAGAATGCGAGAATAATGGACTAGTTTGAGAAACCCAGAAGAACATATACCTGTTGGGGTTGTACTTGTTAAAATTATATAAGTTATAATTTAATATAGGCTTAGTAGCAGGGCCTCAGATTGGTTTTGAGGTACCCTAATTGCTCAGGGTCCCCCCCCATGTTTACCCTGACTTTTCAGGGCTCCACAAAAAAAATCTGCTGAGTAATCAGGGTTTCTTAAAAAATTCACGCTGATTTGACAAAATTGGGAGATGGGCGGAACGACATTCGGGGAGGGCACAGACGGGACGGAATGGGGGGTGGGGAAGGAGGGAGGGAGGATTCCCGCGGGAATCATGATGATGCCGAGCCCATCAAATTTTGCGGTTACACTTTCAGGAAGCCTCAGCCAATCATATTTTGCCGATCGATCCAATCAGATAGCTGAGCAAAATTGCAGGGGCGGGAGAAAATCTCGCCCTCACAAAGCCGCAAGGCACACATAGGGCCCTGAATGTGGCGAAGGGTAAAAAATTCCCCTCCCAAATCCCCCAGCACACGCTAGCCGTAAAATTGGCTAAGGGCCAAGTGCCCTCACACAACCCCCCAGCACACATCGAGCAAGGGAAACATATGGTCATTATGGCAGGGCCCCAAATCACGCTGTTACAAGATTCGGGGTAGCTGCCCGTTAGGCAGATGATACAGGGACCTCTACAAAAGCAACGTTGTACAAACAGAGTTCACTAAAAAAAAAAGCCCTGAAATTTCAGGGTTGTGTCTAAGAAAAATCCTAGCGCATCAGGGTTGGTACCAAAAAAACCTCTGAAAAAACCCTGAATCAGGGAAATTTGCCTGAAATCTGAGGCCCTGCTTGGTAGGTTGTTACTGAACCTTTCTGTAGAGGGTACAAACCCCTCCTTGTACTCCTCTCTCTTCCTAATCGATTCTCTTCTTTCTCGACATTCTCTCCTACCCCCTCCTAGATCTACTTTCCTCACGCCATTCCATGGCGGCATTCCTAGTATCCTAGCTAAGCTAGTGTCCTACGTTTAGGAACCTAGTCTCCTAAGTTTCTAAGATGGTATCAGAGCGAGAGGTCCTCCCTGCTGGACCGCCTACTCACGCTTCTCGCGCTGCCATGGCGCTCGTGTCGTGCCGCGGCCGTCTCGACGCGCTGCTGTGGCGTCATGGAATGCGCGGCGGAAGCGACGGCCCGAGAGGGCGGGGGCCGCTGCACCAGCCTTTGACGTTCAAGCCGCCGCCGCCGCCGCTGTTGCCGCGGGCCTGGTGCCGCCGCACGCCGCCGCTGTCGTCACTGTCGCCGCTGCCGCCATTGCCATCTCACACGCCGTGGGAGCTGCCCTCTTCCGGAGTCGTTGCGGCTCCTGCTGGGAATGGGGGTGCTGGGCTAGGTGGTGTGGGTGTGGATGTGGGTGTGGGTGTGTGCGTGGGCTTGACACTACCAAGCCTAGGGGGTGTGTTAAAATTATATAAGTTATAATTTAATATAGGCTTGGTAGGTTGTTACTGAACCTTTTTGTAGAGGGTACAAACCCCTCCTTGTACTCCTCTCTCTTCCTAATCGATTCTCTTCTTTCTCGACATTCTCTTCTGCCCGCTCCTAGATCTACTTTCCTCGCGCCATTCCATGGCGGCATTCCTAGTATCCTAGCTAAGCTAGTGTCCTAAGTTTAGGAACCAATTCTCCTAAGTTTCTAAGAGTACTCACTAGAAGCACACACCTAGGCTAGCCTATAATTTCTACATATAGCATATGTATAAGTTGACACACCCCCTGGACTAGACAAGGGGTGGTGCTAAGCAAGAAGCACACAGCTCAGGGTGGCACTACTAGTCCAACCACTGAGGCAGGGGTCCGGAGACCGGTCATCAAGAGTACAAACAAGACTAAAGCAAGCCAGGGCGGCACTACTAGTCCAGCCACTGGAGGTAAGGCCACAAGGCCAGTCAGACAGGTATATATAGTAGAGAGTACACAATCAGGGTCCTAACAAGTGAGTAGCTACAGGAACAAGACCAAGTTGTACACAATGCCGCTGATGATCTTTAGGCGCAAGCGCCTTAGTAAAGATATCAGCTGTGTTGGCACTGGAGGCCAAGTGAACAACGCGGGCCTGTCGACGCTGCTGTAGCTCGCGCAGGAGGAAGTACCGCAGCTGGATGTGCTTTGCTCTGCCCTCAAGTCGAGGCTCCAGGCACAGGAGAATCATGGCCCTGTTGTCAGCGTACAGGACCGAGGCAGAGTTAGGCCGCTCACCTAAGTCTGTGAGCAAGAAGCTCAGCCAGCGGAGCTCCTGTGCCGCCATGGCATCGGCGTAGATCTCAGCCTCACAGCTGGACTGAGCAACAGACGATGAGCAAGTGGATCTCCAAGAGATAGCACCTGAACCAAGGCTAAAATAGTAGCCCTGGGACGATCTGAGACTCTCAGAGTCGTCTGCCCAAGAAGTATCTGTGTGCCCAGTGAGGACCACTGGCCTGCGTCCTCCAAGCACTAACCCCATGCCCGATGTACAAGCTAGATATCGCAAAACCCTCTTAGTGGCCGACCAGTGCTGTGGTCGGTGTCTGCCTGTAGCCACAAAGCGAGCCAGGATGCTGAGAGGGTATGCGAGATCTGGGCGAGTGCAAGTTATCAAGTACATGAGGCAACCCACCAGCTCTGCGTAGGGGCCGCTAGGCTCTACTGGCTCCTCAGGAACGGGAGCAGAGAGCCCATGGTCTACAGGTAGAGGTGTGGGCTGTGCGGAGGAGAAGTGAAGACCGAACCTCTGAAGGACCTGACGCACCAAGTGTGACTGTGTCAGAGTGATGGTGCGTGCTGCTCTGTCCCTGGAGAACTGTAGGCGAAGATAGCGACGCAGCTCTCCAAGGTCAGTGCAGGTGTGTCTCTTCAGCAGCTCGGCCTTCACAGAGGCCAGTGCGTCTTTGTCAGCAGTAGCGAAGACCAGGTTGTCTACGTAAACAAGGATGTAGAACGGAGTCTGGCCATAACGCACAAATAGCGAGGGGTCAGCAGAGGACGGAAAGAACTGCAGGTCTGCTATCGTGGCACGCAGTATGTTGTGCCACTCGCGGGGAGCCTGGCGCACGCCGTAGACCGGGCGCCTGAGAAGCCACTGGGTCCCAGGGGGGAAGGTACCACTGAAGCCCTATGGTCGGCGCAGGAAGACTTGCTCGTGTAGGCTGCCCTGAAGAAAGGCAGTAGAGAAGTCGAGGGAGTGAAGCTCGTAGTCGCGCTTTGCTGCTATGTGTAGCAGTGCCCGAAGAGTAGTCATCTTCGGGGTCGGGGCGAAGGTCTGGAAGAAGTCCACCCCCTCGCGCAGGCTGAAGCCTCTAGCCACATAGCGCGCCTTGAAGACAGGCTGCTCTCCAGGGGGGCGCTTCACCTTGAAGAGCCACCGACCATCGACTACGTTCACCCCAAGAGGGCGAACTGCGTCGACGTAAGTGCCGGTGGACCTCCAAGATGCCATCTCCTGCTCCATGGCAGCTATCTACTGAGAGGCCCAGGGTCCCGAGGTAGCCTCAGCGTAGGTGCGAGGGGTCGGGATG